GGGCACCGTCTAGTTCTTCTGGTCTCATAGTTGTATAGGCTGCAGATCGGATGGTGTACCAGTCGCTAGGACTAATTGTTTCCATGAATTTTGGTTTTCCTCATTCTTCTTTGCTCTGGATGAGGAGAGACGCATCGTTGCATCTAGATGGCAGCTTGCTAGCTTTTAAGATCCCAGTCGCTACTCGCCAAAGTAGAGGTGGAACAATGTTTTGTACAGTTATGTTATGCCAATTCAGCTTGATATCCCCTGAGACTATGGTCCCAAGCCCGCAGGTTCAACTACTCAGTTCGTAATCCAACTTCTTAAAAAACTTGTTTACCTTTTGTGCCAAGGCATAACTTTTTCTAATAAATTAATGGAGGCAGAAGCCACATTGCCATGGATTAAGGAAGTGAGAAGTAAAGAAATGGCATCAGCAATTATACACAACTCTTATTTTCCTCCCCCCAACCTTGGTCAGGCTTTCAGACTCCAGAAACTTCACCTCCCTCTGGCCACCTCCCTGATGTTCCTTTTATAGGCTCTGGCTAGGCCCTGTGGAAGCCACAGCCGCTGCCTCAGCCATCACCGCCAGCACTTGCTGTTGAGCTGATGCTGTGGAAGCCATGGAGGAGGGAAAAGCCCCTAGAATCACTAACCATCTTCCCCTCAGTCTTTAGCCTATTTCCTGACTCTGTAAGCTACAGACCCTGGTTTTTCCCAAGAGATTTTTGACTACAGCTCAGTTTCCCTCCATACTACCTGTGCACCATCCTGGAGACTGAATGGTGCCTCAATGGTTCCCGAATTGGGAGGCCCTCCTGAGACTCCCAGAGGTTGCAATGCCCACTCTACTGAATCACTCTTTGGAACAGGTCATCATGTTTATTTCATGTGATCCACTACCCTGGCCACCACAGACTCCATCAGGATGGGATGCTGAGCCAAAGATCAATCATCTGCAAGGCAGCCTGGTCCCAAAGCTCTGGGGACTCAATGACACTCAAAGGGCAGAACTAGACCATGGGTAGGGACTACCATCCCCTATCCCACTTCCACACAGCAGGCTGGCGCAGAGGCTCATTAAACAAACAAGTAGAATCTTTTATTTCCTCACTTATTCCTGGACCTCTGTTCAGAAACCAGATCAGAGGCACTGTAATGGAAGGCAGAGTGAGTCCTTCTTCAGCAATCCTGAACTCAGTAGAGACCTCACACCTGTCACTCTTCATAGCAAGCCCTTCCCCCATGCCAAGGGAAGCAGGACAGCAAGGCCCACTTCTGCAGATTCAAGCCTACTTGGGGATGTTCAGCAGTTAGAGGGGCTCATTGGACAAAACACAGTCATCCCAGACACCCAGGTCTGGAGGACAGGGCTTGGGAGCTCGTCCTCAGGGCCGTGTGTCTCGAGCCCTTCTTCTGGGTCGGGGGCCGTAGTTAGAGCGGGGAGTGGAGCCCAGGCCAGGGGGTGCTCCTGGGGGCTGGTACCCACAGTCATTGGGATCCAAGGGTTCCCGGCTGAGCAGTACCCACACTGCAGGCACATGGCGGCGCACTGTGAGGGGGTCTAGGCCTGTGTCAGGTGAGACTGGGACCCAGCTGTCCTCAGTCTCTAAGAAGCGCAGCTTGGTGAGCTGATGCAGGCCTGGTACCCGCCGCTTGACAATTTCAGCGCAGCTGACAGCCTTCCCTGTTGCCCGGCCAGAACCTGAGAATACCACATGGCGTGTATTGCCTCGTTCCAACTGACCCAATGCCAGCTCCAGCAGGTTGCGGATTTTGCTGCCATCCTGGACCCGCATCTCCAGTGTATTAGGAGGTAGCTGGGGTATGGGGGAAGGTGCTGGAAGCTCCACAGAGCCAGCTTTCCGGTAGTGCTCCATTCTGCTTGCTGAGGTCTGTGAATCTCGCTGTCCACTGCAGGGAAGTGTGAGATGAGTGCTAGGTGGTACACACCAGGTCATCCTCCCATTCTAGCTCTCCAGGACACGGCATTCTTTCTTATCCCAGACTTCCCAGGAATAGGACTATACCCTCTCACCTCCAGCTTCTCAGGCTCACCCTCGGATGGGGCTATATCTCACAGGCCCCTGTTCCTCTGTACAGGGCTGTAACTCCTCTCCCACCCTGGAGTCTGTGAGATGGCATCAAATTCCCTAAAACTGAGCTCTCTGGGGCAGTGATTCCAGAGATTCCTAGAATAAAGACCAAAACTCAGCCCCCCCCACCACCACTCCTGGCTCTCCAAGGACAGGGCCAAGCCCTTTTTTTACTCCACGTACCGCAAAGTCAGAACTGCGCCCCCCCTTAGCTCCAGAATACTTAGAAACGAGCCTACCACCCTTCACCCCGCGATTCCGGTGGTCAGGTCGATCCCCCTTAGCCCAGGTCATTTTAAGTCAGGAGCAGAGGTTCGACGCGGGCGCCTGTTTGGGCTGTTCCTGGTGTGTGGCCCGCGGTCCGGCAGGCCCCGACCGTCCCACCGCACCGCCACTCTTAGTGTCCTGCGAGTTGCACCCGCCAATGAGTCGGCTTTCCCGTCCCTCCACCTCCAAGCGCTCCCACCTCGCCCGATTCCGGTTCTCACCACCGCCGCCACGCCGGCCTCACGCACGACGCGAAACCAAGATGGTGCGCGGGTCGGGAGCGCGCCGCGGGGCCGCGCACGCCGGGGGGTGGGGCTGCTCACGCTGGGGCGGGGCCTGAGGGAACCTGGCCCGCTATACTTCTGCAGAGGAAATTGAGGGTCACCCGTAGCGGCTGGGAACGTGCGTATTGTACCCGCTGTGACATCGGGCAGGGGCACTCCTATTAAGGGCAGGGGCCCTGCGGATATCCAGCGTCTGAAGGATGGGGAGACTTTGGCCCTTCCAGGATGGGAGACTGGCATTACAGGTTGGGCACCCGACAGTAGCGCAGGTTAAGCGAAAAGCAGCGGGATCACTACGCGCAAGAGCAAGAGTTTCAGTTTGGAGTGGCTTCTGCTGCGCGGAGAGCCTCGGTTACAGCGTTCTGAGCTTCGCTTCATTCACCCTGTGGGCCTGCGAGCCACGGAAGGATTCCAGCAACAGGCAGTACAGGAAGACACTCACTCTGACCGCGACATAAGAGGGTTTGGTGGAGGAAATCCGACCGCAACCGCTGGTGACTTCTGGCTGTGGGGTCCTGGAGGCGCGCCCAAGAAGCCTACAACGGTGTCCAGCATATAATAGGCATGCAAATATTTGTTTAAAAAATGCACCAGGGAAATGGAGAGAAGATACTAAGTTGGGAGATATTACGAAGTGAATTTGGCTTAGAGTTGGCGACTGAACGAAGAGGTGGAAAGCCTTTCGGATGACTACCAGGTTTCAGGCCAGTTTGGACAAGCCAAATTCGAGATGCGCATGCGGGGTGGTAAGGGAATAGCTAGAAAAGCAGCTGGAAACTAGAACACTCCCTGAGACCACAAGGGGGCAGCAAGCACTGGGCTGAGTGTTGGGCCCATCTCGGTCTCAGCTTTTTAAAAGCTAGCGCGCCTCCTACCTCACCTTCCTTTCCCATAACCTAAAATTCCCCTCAGCCAAATCTTTCACACTTTTTGGGCTCCCCTTGTTGGCTGAAAGGGCCAGCAGGCTTCCAGGACACTTACAGGTTCCTCTCTGCCTTTGCACATGCTGATCCCTTGGTTATCAAAAGTAATTTCATATCCGCAACCAGGACTGCCTTCCCCATCAGTCCTTCTGTTCCCCAAAGGATCCTGTGTCCACCTGATGGGACTACCCTTTTCCTTGACTGTCTACCCCCCCCCCACGGCCCCCAAGCCTGTGCAGGGATGGATTACATGGGCCCTTCCTGTGTCTTTCCCACCTAGCACAGCATGTTATTTGGAGGGTTCTCAGTATAAGTAGGATAAATTAAAGTATAAACAAATGTCCCACTCACATCAGTCAAATGAGAGCCTTTATTCTGAGAGGTGCACACCTCTGGGTGGCCAAACAAGGATGCGTGTAGTTCCCAATCCAACCACTAGGTATCTGCCATCCCCATTCCCCACCACCAAAAACCCACCAACCCACTGCCATGGAGTCAATTCCAACTGATAGTGACCCTATAGGACAGAGTAGAACTGCTCCATAGAGTTTCCAATGTTGAAAATATTTATAGAAGCAGACTGCTGGTGGATTGGAGTTGTCCAGCTTCTGGTTAGCAGCTGAATGCATTAACTACTGTGCTCCCAGAGTTCCTTCCCCACCACCAACCCAACCTAAATCAGAATTTGGCACACTCTTCCAGCGATCACGATGGTTTATTGTTACTGAAATAAGGGCATTGATTGGGAAGTGGTCCAAATCTCAAATCTCAGGTAACCCTTTACCTCTGACCTAACAGTCCCACTGAGTATAGGCAGGTAGGCCATGAATCCAATAAATACAGAGAGCTGCCTCTGCCCTATTACAAAGGCAGATTGGCACAGGTCCCTGGAGCCAGGCTGTCTTAGCTGCCCCAGCATGGGAAGCAGTTGTCATTCCTCCACTGGCTTCACTTGCTTGGCGGCCTCTAGCTGGCAAAGTAACTCATCCCACTGCACAAACTGCTTGGACAGAAGCATTGTCTGGACACAGGTTAAGGTGAGAAGAGCAGTCTCAGGGAGTGGAGATATTTTGCATTGGCCAAAAGGGGTGGAGTTGAGGGAGTTGGGGAAGAGGAAGACTGGTTAGGTGGGGATGAGAGACAGAGCTAAGGAGTGGGCCAAAAGGACTGGGCTTGGGGAAAGCACCCATTAGCGGCCTGGGTGAGCAGAAAGGATACAATCTTGTTGTATTCCTCCAGGAGAGCCTTGGACTCCTCAGTGATTTCCCCACACTGGTCCTGTGGGGCCAAGGAGTGTCAGAGAAAGGAGTTGGGCAAAGCCCCAACCTCCCACTAGCTTTCTTGTCTCATTCCTGTCCAGAAAAGGGGATGCTTAACCCCAGAATCAATGGAGCATATTACAGGCTCCAGGATGGGTGCCCTATCAGTGATGTGGCTGGTGTCACTTTCAGCCCAAAGGCTGATATAAAGGGAAGTGGGCCATACATTTAAGGAAATATTTCCCCTCATAGGTTGCCTCCTCCCCTGTCCCCTATTTCCAAACCCTCTTTGAACTTTACACTGGGGCCTGGGAATACTAAGTTCTTCCACCCATAGTCCAGGACACACTATCCCAGGCATTCTTGGATACCTCTAAAAATTAACCTTCCAGTGTCTCAAACTAGCCCTGCTCTGGGAGGCAGGAGACCTGGATGTGGCCCTAGACAAGTTCCTTCCCCTGCCCAGGGCAAAATAAAGGATAACCCCCAAGTCTTCCATGGGGTTGCTTCCCTAGGTAGCAGGGTTAAGGGGTGATTCACCACTTACACGTTCCCTTCCAGCCCTTTACCCTCCCATACCTGCTGCTGGATATGAATCTGGGCCAAGCGTTGTAGGCGGGCAGCATGCTCAGGAACGGCTATAAAACACAACACATTGCTTGATGATGCTTGTGCCCTCCCCCGGGACTGCTCAATAGTCTATTAGGTCTTCGGCAGGATTAGAGTATTGAGTGGAGAAGCTAAACAAACGCCAGGCTTCATCGACCGCTGCAGCTGGAGGTGGTGGGGTTCCCTGCCCACCCCAGCCCTACTTCAGGACCCATAGGGGAGGGGAGGATGCAGGCCCCTAAAAGAATACAAAATGTTGGGGACCTTGAGTTGCCCCCTATCCCTACCCCAGTGCTGTAAGAAGAACGAGAGAGAGAGAGAAAGAGAGAGGGCTTTGCCTACCAGGGGGTCTGTCCCTTTGCCCTTGGCCCAAGAGAGAGCCTGCTGGTAGGCTAAGGATGAGGGCCAGGTCCCTAAACTGACCACCCAGAATCTAACACCCAGAGCCTCAGCCACCATGCTGGGCCCCTTCAGCTTAAGGCCGTCAGATGTTCAGCAGGTTGTTGATCGGGGTGGGGAGGGGAAGCAGGGAAAAATGCCTCCAGAGACAGACAAGATGGATATCTGGATTCAATTAAAGCCACTGTCTGCTTGTCAAAGCCCAGGCTCAGGGACTGTTCTCAGCAGTGCGGCAAGAGGAACTCATACACATTTACACACCTGGCAGGAACTTTTATAGTAAAATCCAAGCTCTGTAGCACCCTGAAGGCCAGATGCTGAGCAGTGGGGTAGAAGGCAGATGGAATCCTCAGAGTTGGGGACTGCTAGAGCAGTCCTTGGGCCCAAATTGCCTGAGGTCCTGACCCTGGGGTCTCTGCTCTTGCAATTCTAATCCCAATGGAGGTGGCATGTGGCCCCAGGGGGAAGAGTAAAGACAAGGAGCAGATCCAGCCTGGGCCCAGGAAACCCAGGGCATGGGTAAGTCCTGCCCACCCAGCTATCTCCCAAACAGAGTATGGAGCTGCAGCTCCAGATAGGTACCTTTGATGTAAGGGCTGTCCAGCATGGGCACCAAGGACTCCACCTGCTCCAGGAGCGCAACCTGGGAGAGGATAAACTGCTCCTCTGAAGCAGAAGAGACAGCAGCAGTGAGGTAGTGTCATGCATGGGGCTGAGGACCTGGCAGGGGAGATGGCTGGGCTCTGGACCTTTGGACAGTTACTTTGCTCTTCTCTATGTGCATACTCCCCCATTCTGTCCCCACCAGATGCCTCTGGTCTGACCCATCTTGAGCCAGGCATCTCTCAGTTTCTCCAAATTCCACCTTTTTCCAAGTTTCAATTTCAGGGCCTCTTCTCAATAAATTATCAGTTAGCCTCTCCTAGGCCACAGGAAATGAAGGGCTTCAGACTTGAGTCCTCATACCCAGGTCTGAGAGAGGAGATACATGGCAGACTATACTAGGCAGGTTCTGCTCATTGGCTCTGGGAGGCACAGACAACTGCAAACTGCTGGAGAGCCAGGGTAGTAATGGGAGAGTCCAGTGGGAGAGCAAGACCGGGGCTGGGGATTTCAATGGTTGCACAGAGTGGAAAGGGAATTCAAGAAGAGGAGACTATGTGGGCAATTGCTTGGAAATAGGAGTGCTTGTCCTTTAGTAGAGGGAAAAGAATTCAATTAGCTAAACAGGAATAGGGAAAGTCAGGACATAGAGCTGGATAGAAGAGTAGGCCTGAAGTCTGTGGAAGGCCCTGAATGGCAGGCTAAGATAAGGACTTTATCCATCAAGGTTAGACAGACACTGAGGTCCAAAGTGGGCAATGTGGCATGATGGAAACCATTTGCTGAAGGGGAAAGACTAGAGTCAAGAAGATGATTTAGGAGACTGTGTAAATGTTCAGGTGTGAGGGGATGTTATGGATTGAATTATGGCCCCAAAAATACGTGTTAAATCCTAATCCCTGTACCTGTAAATATGACCCTGTTTGGAAACAGGGGCTTTTCTTTTGTTATGTTAATGAGCTCACGCCAGAGTAGAGTGGATCTTAAACCTAACCACTTGAGTTATAAAATGATCAAAATAGACATACAGACACACACAGGGGGAAGAGAAAGACAGATGATGGAGACAGATGTATCTGCAAGTCCAGGAACATCAAGGATTACCTCCACTACTAGGAGTTGAAATAGACAAGGAAGGACTTCTACTAGAGCCATGCCCTGAATCTGTACTTCTAATCTCCTGATCTTGAAAAAATATATTTCTGTCCTTTACAGCCACCCATTTGTGATATTTCTGTTATGGCAATACTAAATCACTGTTGTTGTTGTTATGTGCCATCAAGTCAAACCTGACTCATAGCAACCCCTCCTTGGGTTTCTGAGGCAATATCACTACAGAAGTAGATTGCCTAACCCTCCTTCCGAGGAGTGGTTGGTAGGTTTGAACTGCCAGCCTTCTGGTTAGCAGTCAAGTGCCTTAGGCACTATGCTACCAGAGCTCCTACTAAGTCACTGAGGCAGGGGATAAACACTGGGGAAGTGGCCATGGGGAGGGAGAGGGTGGACTCAAGTCAGTGCAGGGAAAAACTCCTGAACTTAGTACCGGAGCTATGGCAGTTGATCAGGAGTTCTTTGGGAGCTGCCCATCCTCGCTCAGTCTTCAGTGATAAATAATTTCTACCCCAGTCTCTCTTTTGGGAATTGGATCTCCCAGCTTTGTTATAAGCTTAGGTCCCTAAGCAAGGATTCTGTCTCTTTTAGTTTGGCCTGTACACGATGGCAGGGACTCTCTGGTTCCATGATATACCTCATAACCACGATAGTGTGAGACATACTGGCTCACAATATAGTCATACCTCAGAGATATTGTGGGTTCAGTTCCAGACCACTGCAATAAAGCAGATATCGCAATAAAGGGAGTCATATGAATTTTTCAGTTTCTCAGTGCATGTAAAAGTTGTTTTTAAATAAAATTTTTTAAAAATAAAATTTGTACTCTACTGTAGTTTATTAAGCATACAATAGCATTATGAAAAAGTTTGAAATATTGTGAGATTTACAAAAATGTGACATAGAGACAAGTGAGCACATGCTGTTAGAAAAATGGTGCCAATAGAGTTGCTTGATGCAGGGTTGCCACAAACCTTCAATTTATAAAGAACAAAATATCTGTGAAGCTCAATAAAGCAAAGGGCAATAAAATGAGATGTTCCTGTAAATGATCATTAAACATCTTTTGAATAAATGAATGGACATAGTATGTGCTCAGCAAACTCTAGCTTGTGGAGTGGCTGGCTGACTTATTAGCCAATTCAACGACGGCAATGGTTCCTACCTACAACTTTGAAATCCCCGAGCCTTCTCACATGAAAGGAAAATATTGCAATTTATGCCAATACTCCCCCTCTTCCAAATGAAATGCCCTCTGCCCTGTCCTAGAAATTCCTTTGTCCCATGAGAAGTGAGGAAGGTTCTGAAGGAAAATTCCAGAGGCAGATCACTGCTAGAACACTGGAGTAGCTCTCACTGTGGCTAGCAACATTGTCTGCAGCTAGCCCAGAGGTATACCAAGCCCAATGCCTATGAGAGGACCCGAGGACCCCCTCCAGCTAGAGTCAGGTCAGAATTCCAGAGAGTAGCTTCCAGGCTGTTTCCATGAGAACACTGGATGGCGAGGCCACCTCTGTGCCCAATCTCCCTGACAACCCACATTCCCAGATGCATGTCCAGCATTACCTGCTAAGATGAATTGCAGCTTAGAGGTATCAGGTATGGCAATGCGGTCAATGTACTCAGGATCCAGGTATTTGATCAGGTCTTCAACTAGAAAAGTAGCAAGACAAAATGGGACCAATTGGGTTGGGAACTGAGGCTCTATCTTATGAAGCCTTTGGTGAGGAGCTGACGCTCTCAGTATCCCATCTACTCCTGTAGACCATAACCCCCAATTCTCTCTCTCTCCACACTCATCACCTCAAGCCTCAGAGCTGAGAACATCATTGCTAGCAGCACCCTGGGGCCCTCAGCACTCCCAAGGGATGGAAGGTCCCTTTCCCCCTCAGTGCCCGACAAGTCAGAGCTTTGTTTGATTTCCACATGCTGAGCAGGGGTTACTAGCTCTGAGATAACCAAAAAAGGCTTTGCTAACCCAAGCCTGAGGCTCTCAGTATCTAATTTCTGTCTCTAGACCTTACCCTTCTTCCTTTCTCCACCACCAGGAACTTTCAGGCAGAGCTTCTGTCCCATAACTTAGCACACTATCATGGTCATAGGGTTCACTCACGAGGAAAAAGGAAAGCCCACACTTTACTTCAGCAGGAATACGTTTTTATATTTTTGCTCTCTCCAAAGGGCTATTCCATAACCTATTGGGCTGAAGGCCCAGGACCAGGTCCCAGAAAGAAGAGGCATGAGGAGGGCAGGCAGGTACCCCAGAGAGGCACTTACTCTTTTTGTACAGAATCTTCACCCTCTCCCTCTTGCTGGCGATGTTCCCCAAAGCCACCTGTATCTTAACCACACCATCAGCCACCTAGAAGGGGAATGGAGGTTAATTCCAAGATACACCACCTAGATTAAGGTTTAGTAAAGAACCCTTATCCCCTGACTCCACAACCTGAGTCCCAGCAGGTTGGCCCTCTTCTCCTGTATTAAAGGAGATGTAATTCCATCTTCAGGGAATCCTCAGTGTGAATGGACAGATAATCATGTGCTCTCTCTTTAGGGAGCTTCAAGTATGATTGGGGAGAGAATTAACTATTTTGGAGCTTATGGGGCATTGGCATATACTATGTATTTCTTGGTTCCTAAACCCTGGATTTAGGCGTGAAAAATCCAAGCATCCTCATCTAGGCCTTATTACCTCATCAATGTATAACTGTACCAGCCCCAGACTGAATGGCCAACCTCTAGCTCTATCCCCTCTACATTAACTTTAATGTGGGAAATGGAAGAGTCTAGGACAACCTCTAGAAGCCCAGTGACAGTGCAATCCCTGAAGTAGGAAATAAAGAAGAATTTCCTATTCCAATGGCTAGGGGAGAGAAAGAGTAAAGTTAAGAGCATGTGGACTGAGTTTGAGATGTATATGGGCCATCCAAAAAGAAAAGTCCAATAGGAAACTAGACATATGTCTAGTTCTCAGAACAGAAATCTGGGCTGGAAATACACATTTGAGACATAATGATATGTAAATGGTAACAGAAACTGTGGAAGTGAATAAGCTCAGGCTTAAGGCTTGTTGTTATTGTTAGGTGCTGTTGAGTCAATTCTGATAGCATCATAGTAACCCTGTCTAGGGAGAACAGAACAAAACACTGCCTGGTCCTGTGCCATCCTTAAAATCATTGGCATGCTTGAGCCTATCATCGCAGCCACTGAGTCAATCCATCTTTTTGAGGGTCTTCCTCTTTTTCACTAACCCTCTGCTTTACCAAGCATGGTATCCTTCTCTAGGAATTGATTCCTTCTGCCAACATGACCAAAGTATGAGAGATGAAGTCTGGCCATTCTCTCTTCTAAGGAGCATTTCGGCTGTACTACCCTCCAGGCAGATTTGTTAGTTCTTCTAGCAGTTCGTGGTACATTCAACATTCTTTGCCAACACCACAATACAAATATATCAATTCTTCTGTGGTCTTCTTTATTCATTGTTCAGCTCTCACATGCATATGAGGTGATTGAAAATACCATGGCTTGGGTCAGACACCTTAGTTTTCAAAGTGACATCTGCTCTTTACACTTTAAAGAATTCTTTTGCAGCAGATTTGCCTAATGCAACATGTCACTTGACTGCTGCTTCCATGGGTGTTGATCCAAGTAAAATGAAATTCTTGACAACATCAATCCTTTCTCAGTTTATCATGATGTTGCTTAGTGGTCCAGTTGGGAGGATTTTTGTTTTCTTTATGTTGAAGTATAATTCATACTGAAGACTGTAGTATTTGATCTTCATCAGTTCAAGTCATCTTCCCTTTTGGCAAGCAAGGTTGTGTCATCTGCACATCACAGGTTGTTAATGAGTCTTTTTAATACAGTGACTCTCTGCATCCCTTCTTCCATCTTCTTCTGATGGTTTCTACATCATTCAATATTTTTCCCATAGAATCCTTCAATATTGCTTAAGGGTAGGGGCAATGAATTCAAGAGTTAAATATATGGAGAGGTAAATAAGATAGGGAAGAAGCAATCAGAGAGGTAGGAGGAAAACCAGAAGGGCTGGTGTCATAGATGTCAAATGGAAGCACAATCTGCTGTTGTTGTTGTTGTTGTTGTTATGTGCCGTTGAGTCGGCCCCAACTCATAGCGACCCCTCCTTGGGTTTCCAAGGCAGTATCACTATGGAAGTAGGATTGCCCAACCTTCCTTCCAAGGAGTGACTGGTGGGTTTGAACCACCAGCCTTCTGGTTAGCAGTCAAGTGCTTTAGCCACTATGCTACCAGGCTAGTGACACCTAATTCCACAAGAAGGATACAGACAGACATCATCATCTCAGATGCACTTAGCTCCAGATATGCCTGACATTCCAACAGGAATTCCTCTATAAAAGATCTTCCCATAGTAGAAAGCATTTGAAGAACATTTGAGCTTCATGGTTGTCAAATTCAGTCATTTAGGTGAAGAAGTCACAAGGGTGAAGTAGTGTTGGTCCATATCTGAACACCAGTTATTCAACTCCCTCTCTTCCTAATTCCAGGCCTGTCAGACATCACCTCTTGCCCCTGGGAGCCTTCCTTATCCACTTTTGACCTGTCTCAGGTTCCACGGACCTCTCTCTGCACACAATTCATTTAACAATTAAGAACGCAGGAGCCCTTCTATTGCGGACGTCAGTTCTTATTGAAACTCTCATTAGTCAGCTTCTCAAGTGTGTCAGGTCTCAACTAGGCAGAGAGAACAGGGCGGAGTCTTGGTCACCATTCATACTGAGCCCACTTCCAGCGAACCAAATCACCCGCAGAGCCTCCCCCTCCACGCCCCATGGGGATGGACACCGAGGGTTCGATCTGCTCCAGAAAGCCCCCCACCCGGAAAAAAAAAAAAAAAAAAAAACCCTCACTGCCGTGGAGTCAGATTCGACTCATAGTGACCCCTTCTTGGGTTTCCGAGGCGGCATCACTACTCAAGTAGATTGCTCCCAGACCTTTGTTGTCTCAAAGGCCGAGACTGGAGCGGTTGCATCCACCCCAAGGGCCAGGCCAATGGGCCGCTCTTCACTGTCCTGGAAAGGGATAGGCAGACTCCAGACCTCTCACCTTCCGCGAGCCACGCGCCCCGCCTGGCCCATATACCCAGCGCTCTAGCTCCTCCACACCGGCCTGTAGCCGTTGCAGGTCTGTCACAGTCGCCATCGCCACCGCCGCCCCGCCTCAACCGGGGAACAACCACAGGGCGGGACGTCCGTCCAAATGGGAAGGCTGACCAATCTGAGTGCACTGGCGCCTCCTGGAGGGAAGTGACACCACGATTGGCGCCTTTAGTGCCGGAAGTGATCGAATGGGGCGGGTAAAAGGTATCAAAAGCTGCATAGTTACCGAGGCAACGGCTACCCATCTTCCGGCCCTTCGGGAATCCCAACGCTTTGGTTGTCAAGACAGTCTTGCCTTTCTTTTCTTAGTTTGAGGTAGCTCTGGTGGTGTGGTGGTTAAGCCACCTGGCTCATAACCCAAAGGTTGGTGGTTCAACCCCACCAGCTACTCAGGGGAAGAAAAATGAGGCAGTCTGCATCTGTAAAGACTTTCAGCCTTGGAAACCCAATGGGGGACACTGAGTTGGAACTGACTTGATGGCAGTGTGTTTAGGATTTTTTTTTTTTTGGAAGATGGAGCAATCTACTTTGTAGTGATACTGCCTGGGAAACCCAAGGAGGGGTCGCTATGAGTCGGGTCTGACTCCATGGCAAATAACAACAACAACAATTTGAGGCTGCCAAAGAGGTTTCCCCACCCCATTCTCTGAGGTTCTATGTATAAATACATCCACTATTCTGGGATAAGTCCATTCCCATAGGTCAGTAGGAGGCCCCATGAGTTAGCATAGCCTTTTGGAATCCTCTGAGGTTCAAGAGATTAACTGAATTGCCCATGGACTTCCAGAAGAACAAACAAATCTGTCCTGGAAGAAGTGCAGCTGGAATGCTCCTTGGAAGCGAGAATGGCCAGACTTGTCTCACCTGCTTTGGTCATGCTGTCAGAAGGGACCATTATTCCCTGGAGGAGGATCAGCAAAAAAGGGGAAGACAATAGATTGACATGGTGGCTGCAATAATGGGCTCAAGTATAGCAAAGATTGTGGGGATGGCGCCTGAGTGGGCAGTATTTTGCTCTGTTGTACACAGGGTTGCTGTAAGTCAGAGCTGATTTGACGGCACCTAACAACAACCACCCAGCTCCTTAGTGCTAGAATCAGCATGTGAACTCAGACTGATTTCAAGAGCCAGAGCTTCTGTTGTCACTGAGCTTCCTATGCTACCTTCCCCCTGGGATCCCTGACCAGATGTAACCTGTGTACCAGATCATTATTTCTCCCTCCATTCCCCTCTACCCCCCAAACAAGAAGGCGAGGACACACAGGAGAGGGAGGGATAGCAGCTTTATTGTCCAGATGTGGCCTGGGATGCCTCCTCCACAACACCCTCGACCCAACTCTTCACTTGGCTCCCAAAGAGGAGCAGAGCTTGGTCCCTAGAGATGGCATTGACAAAGGGAGCATATGAAGGAGATGATAGGGTTCCTGGGGGGAGAACTCTTTGGTAGACGTTGCCAGAGTTGGCCAGGGAGAAGGTGCCCTCCCTTTACAATGAGGTAGATGTAACATGGGAAGAAAATCCTTTGGTTGCAAGTCCACATGGCATGGAGGGGAGGAAGTCACCTCCCAGGACAGTGTCCCAGAGTGAGTGGCCTGGAAGAATCAAGGTATGGGGAGTTGTCCTCCTCCCTCAGCAGTGGGGCTAGGACTCTTAGTTCTGAGTGGGAGGTCTCAGGGCAAGGTGCCGGAAGGGGGCCCATGCAGGGGTGCAGGGTTGGTTGGGCCCTGGGAAGCTGGCACAGGCTGGCGGCGGGCAAAGAGAACACCTGGTAAAGAGGTGAGATGGTAGAGGGCAAACACAAGCAGAGGGGGTGAGGCATGAAAACAGAAGAGGGGAACAAAAGTAAGACTGCTATAACACCACACACATACCCTTTCCACAAACCAATTTGGACAAGCTCATTGTGTCAGTAAGAGACTATTATGTCAACGTAGGTACCCTCAAATAGGTAAATTGGTATCTATAATGATACTTAGGCCCACGACAAGGCAGACATCCCATGGTACCCATGCCAATGAGGTTATACCTTGGACCCCATGCCATGTAGACAACCCCATTAACCCATGCCCCGGTAGCAATCCCCTGAACCCCATGTTGCCCATGCAGATTTAGACATCCTTGCACCTCATGCTCATAGAGGCAGTCTAAAATCCCCATGCCAATGTAAATACCCCTGACCTCATGCCAGTATAAACAGCCTGCAGCACCCATACCAGTGTAGACCACCCCGTTGATCTCTAGGGCCATGTTGATACTGCTGATGCCACTGCCAGCCAGATTGAGAGGCCCATCCAGCCGCTCTTCTGTCCAGGAGGGGGCAGGGGTCACATTTTGGGAATCAAACTTCAGACTTAGAAGTGCCCTCCTCCATCCCTGTAGACAGCTCCCATCCCACTTTGACCCCACACCTGTAATCATACAGGCGTCTATAGACGGTTATGTCTGCCCTATTTCCAACATCTATCAGGCAATGTGCCTGTCCTCCCTCAGTACACAGGCCCAAAGCCCCTTCAGCAATAAGTCCCTCCTCACCCCTCAGGGGGACCTTGCCCCTGGACAGAAAACTGGGGGGTGCACCAGGTCTAGGAGGGTCCATGGGCCCAATCAGCACAGCCCTCTTCTCCGGGGGTTCTTCTGGTGCCAACTTTTCTCGCACAGGTCCCAGGGCCAGACCCACAGGTAATGCCACTCGAGGGGTTGGAATTCCACTCTCCTCTGGAAGAATAGGTCACTCAGCTCCCCTGGCCCAATCAACCCTATCTCTGCATTTGATTCTCACCCGAGCTCATGAACCGTATTCAAGCTCCCCTCCCATCTAGAGCCTCAGCCTGGAGGCTCTCAAGCTGAAGAGCCAAAGGGCCAATATATATGTCCAGGTTGGCGGAAGACAATTTTCAGAGGCAAACAAGTTTGGGGGATTTCGTTGATTTTGGTAGTTAAATAACCCAGGACACAGACGGCACAAACTACATGTAGATAGGAGCCCCATGAGGACAGATGTGGAATGGAGCTGCTCTAGATAAAGGGCCTTTTCCTGAGCTTCAGCCCCACATCACAGTGACCCGTTGCTCCTAAGCTTCATTAACCCCACACCTCAGACCCTGAAACTTCAGGACTCCTAAATCTCATTGCCCCCTAAACTGCCCTATCTCTCAGTGCCTTCCAGATTTGAATATCCTTTACAAAGTCTCCTATATCTCAATGCCCTCTAGACCTCAGAAACCCCCAAAACTCCGCGTTGCCTTCTCCCCTCGCACCTTTCTTAATGGGGCTCGGGCTCAGCTGGGCGCACGCGTGCGCAGGCAGACCGGGGCCAGAGCTCTGGGCTGGGCCCCGGCCGGGCCCCGGCAGGGGCGCGGGCGGGGCGGGGCCAGATCCCGAGGCGGAGCCAAGACCGCCCCGAGGGGGCGGCCCGGCCAAGCCGAAGAGAGGGGTGGCTCCGTAAGCCTGGCGACGGCCCTCCCGCCGGTTGCTGTCGATAGCCGCCTGGAGCTCACCCGGCGAGCTGAGCGCTTGCGTCTCGCACTCGTACGGGTACAGGTACTTCATATATCTAGGGGCGGACCGGATGTGGGGCGGGAAGCTGGGCCTGGCTGATCAAGCCCTACATCCCAAACCAGCCCGAGCCCCTGCCTTCCCGTTCGCCCGCCTTCCCGTTTGCCCTGCCCCCAGCTTCTGGCCTCACTGGGTGCGTAGAGTGAAAGCAGCTGAGGTGATGGTGGTGGGTAGACTGAGGCCTCGCGTGACCTCCCGCCACACCTTGCGGTTGATGACTTCCACCAGGCCGCCCTTAGCGGTCACTAGACGAAACAGCGCGTACAGGTCCAGCACCTGCTTGGCCATGATAGGCACACGGTTCACTGGCGTCCCTGGTAGGGATGGGCAGAGAGTCAGGACACTAAGACCTGTGTGCAGCATCCGTGGAGACTGAAGAAATTGGATCCCTGGATGATGCCTGGGTGCACTGATGATCAGGGAGAAGGGAGAGGAAGAGGGAAGAGTGGGGAGAGCTCCCAGGGCCTTCACTGTGGCAAGGAAGACAGGATGCTAGACCAGGACAAACTTTTTCTGAAAAGGGCCAGATGGTAAATACTTAATGTTTGCAGGCTAGCCAATGTCATAGCTATTCAACTCTGCCATTGTTGCCTGAAAACAGTCATGCTAGTTGTCCTGGAGTGATTCCAACTCATGGCCCCGCCTTGTGTCAGAGTAGAACTGTGCTCCATAGAATTTTCAATGGCTGTTTTTTCAGAAGCAGATCACCAGGCTGGTCTTCCAAATTGCCTTTGAGTGGGCTTGAGCCTACAGTCTTTTCTGTTAGCAGTGAGGGCCTTAAGCATTTGCACTACCTAAAACTCAGAAAACAGCCTTGTTGTTGTTGTTATGTGCCATCGAGTCAGACCTGACTCACAGCGACCCCCTCCTTGGGTTTCTAAGGTGGTATCACTGCAGAAGTAGATTGCCCAACCTTCCTTCTGAGGAGTGGCTGGTGGGTTTGAACGCCAGCCTTCTGGTTAGCAGTCAAGTGCCTTAGGCACTATGCTACCAGAGCTCCTAACGCTACCTTGTTGTTGTTGT